ACTTGCTAAGTTCCCTTGTCCCAGTGATATGAAAGAAGGGAAGTCTAGGCCCTGGAAGCTTGGCCCTTGCATTCCTTGTCTCCCCACACTGTTCTGTTCCCTTTCCAAAACTCCAAAGACTCTATAGGGGTGTGGATGGATTGGTGGTCCCTGCCAGCTCTGACCTCCTGTGATTCTAAGAGCCTGAGATTTCTGGCTTCTCTGAGTCTGAGATCCTAAGTTGGTGGGGTGGTAATTGTTAATGGAATGCTTACTATATTCCAGGCACTGTGTAAAATGCTTTCCATGCTTAATCTCATTAACTGTTAAAGAAACTTTATGAAGAAGCTACTATTACTCTTCTCACTTTGCAGATGAGGAAACTGAGGCCCAGAAGGGTGAAGTGACTTGTCTAAGCCTATTCATTTAGTAAGGGTCAAGCCAGAGCCTGAAGTCAGGCCCATGCAATTCCTGCCTGCCATCCAGATGGCCTGCTTTTATTTTGTGGGTCAAAGCTTTCTTGTCTGACCTGGCTATCTAGAGACAGGCTGGACATTGTAGCTAATTGTCTGTTTGTCCACCCAGGAGAGCTGCGGCGTGACTGTGTGTGACGGGAAAGTCCACATCCTTGGTGGGCGGGATGATCGCGGGGAAAGCACCGACAAGGTCTTCACCTTTGACCCCAGCAGTGGGCAGGTAGAGGCCCAGCCACCTCTGCAGCGCTGCATCAGCTCCCATGGCTGCGTCACCATCATCCAGAGCCTGGGCAGGTGACTCACACCTGCGCCAGGAGGTGGGGAGGGGAGAACTCAGGCTCACCACTGCTCCCCTCATGGCACCTCCATGTAAAGAGCCTCTTAACTTACTGCCCTTTTTCTCGTAGAAATAAAAACCTTCAAAAGGTTGGGTCTGTGTTCCAGCTTGAGCCTCCTTAGCTAAGAGAAGTGATACCCAGTATCTGCTCCTTGCTTTGATTCTTTACAAAGCACCTGCATATATGGTTACCTCATTTACCTTCATAATAGCAGTGTGGACATTTTTAAAAATTATGAAATATTTCATATGTAAGAAAAAAATATTTTGTACAGTTTAAAAATTATAATAAAATAAGTGTGTTCCCACCACCGAACTTCATAAATAGATCACTACAAATGCCTTTGTAGGCCCCAAACCCATTTCTTACCCCATTCTTCCCAAGGACAGTCACTATTTTCTTTTGTTTGTTTTTGTTAACATAGGTACTAGGGATTAAACCCAGGACCCCGTGCATGCTAAGAATGCACTCTACCACTTAGCCATACCCCTAACCCCAACCACCACCACCAGCCCCCAGCAGCCACTATTCTCAAATTTCAGGTTATCAGCAGTTTGCTTTTCTAACTTTTAGTGAGCTAGCTACTAATATCTGCATTTTAACAGAGAAGGAACTGGCTTAAAAAGATGAGGAGACTCACCCAAGGCCATATACTTAGCAAGAGGCAGAATCTATGACTTATTTCATGAAACTTCAGAATCTATGAGGCACTTATGGACTGGATGGTTCTCCCTTTCTAAACCACCTTCACCAATTCAAACACCTAGAAATGATAGATAAAATTAAAAGCTAGACAACTAAAAAGAGGCACAAGCTTATAAGCAAACACATCTGAGAACCAGAAACAGAATTGTAAAACCATAAGGCAGGCAGTAGCTCAAGCTCTTGGATTCAGACTCTGGGATAAAGGCCTTAAAAACAGGATTCCAAACCAGGCTCACTGCTAGAAGCCTGGGCCAAGGTGGGGTTCCCCAACTCATAAAAGAAGTTGAAGCAAAACAGAACAAAGACAGGTGTACAACTGAGCAGCCTTGAGGTCAAGGCTCACAGCAAACTCGAGAGACAGGGTGGTAGGCTCCAGAATCACAGGCCCCTAAGACTCCCATCAGCCCAGCTTTGCACCTGGACACGTCTCAACATTAACAGGGGCACAAGCCCCTGATGCCATTGTAAGCACCTGGTTTAGCCGGGGCTCTAGGGCAACAACAGAAAATTGCTGGGTCAGGAAGAGTGAGCTCAGTGGAGGAAAAAAAAGGAACAAAGGATGCCACAGATTCTGTGAGGCAAGGCCCAGTGGTTCAGGTGCTGTGCCTGTATTTCTGAGGCCTGGAAGAGATGGTCAGGCCCCAGCTGGGGCTCTCCTTATTTGCACTCAGATTGCTTTTTGAAGAGCTGTCATGTGCTCCTCCATCCCCTCCAGCATAGGGCCAGCTCCATGCCCCTATCTTCCAAAGCCCCAAGGCCCTGTCTGCGGGCTCTCTCCAGCTGGGGCTGGCCTAGCAAAGCCCAGCACAAAGGCCCGGGTCCCAGCTGAGACTCTACCCTCCGATTATCCCAGATTAGGGAGCCTGTGACCATCTGGACACAGCTGATAATGGCAGAGTGGGAGGGGAGTGAGGTAAAAGCCCAGCCTCAGAGCCTGCCTGCTCCCACCCCACAGATAACACTCAGGACAAAGCAAAGGCGCCATTATCACTTGCCTACCCAGGCAGAAGACAAGAGAGGAAGGTAGGGGCAAATCCAGGGCAAGCTCTTCTCTGGGACATGGGTGCCTTACCTAGGATGAGCACTTCTGTGTAGCCAGGCAGATTGCCTAGCTTTCCCACATGATGGCCATTTGTGCCCCCAGTGCTCTCTCGTGCAAGTCCTGATGGCTCTTTCCTGCTCTACCTGGCAGACCTGACACACTCCACCCCATAGCTGACCACTTCCTCCTTGTGCCCCTTCCTTAACAGCCATTCTATCACCTGACATATGGTCAGGCCTTTATGTGACATCTCTGGTCTCTCCTGACACACCCACAGGATGCCTCTTGAGGCAGGGAAGGTGTCAGCTTCACTTCTGTGTCCTCCAGTGACTGTAAGACCTCCCACTGAACACATGAAATCAAGGTTTCCTTTATTTCTATCTCATAATGCTTGAGGAAGGCACTATTGCCCCCACCCTCCAGCCCCTTACAAATGAGGAAACAGATTCAGATTTATGAAGTAACTTGCTTACTAAGGTCATGGTGCAGGTCAAGTGGTGACAGAGCCAGGATTCCAGCTCGGGTCCAGCTATCTCCAAAGCCTGTTCTCTCCATGCAGCCTCTGCTAATCTAAGAAAATGGTTGGAGTGCAGCACAGGAGTTGTTGAAAAGTAGAAGACACATCATTTCCACCATGGGAAATTCCAGCCTGATACGGTATTATCCCTGACCTTCTGGGCTTCCGACTTGATAAGGGAAGACATGGTGCATGCTCCTGGTGAGTAAGGTTCATAGGAACACAAGCAAAAGTTGACACCCATATGTCCTAACTTCCTAGGACTACTGATTAGACTGAGACCATATATAGAGGGTCTCTCTGGCTCCTAGCCCATTGCTCTCTGGGCCCCTGGGCTGCCTGCTGAATGTGAACTGTTACATTCAGTTCAGCAGGAAGCCAGACCACAAGTCCATGGCCCCTTAGCCACACATGATTTTGCCATCCTTTCCCCAGATGAGAACAGACTTAACTCTTGGTATGCCATCAGAAGCCTTTGGACCCAAATTTAATTTTTCTGTTTCTTTTTTGAGTAGTTCTATTTGTAAGGATTGGTAATTTATGATTGTTCTTTCTTAGTGGGCTTCTAAAGAACAATGAGAAATTTGCTTATTTTTTTAAAAAACAGAGCAAAGCATTTTATTTTGCAATTACTGTATGGGTTTGTTGGATTCTTTCATAAATTTAAAATATATCCATGCCGTATACACTACCCATTCATTAGTATAGGAAAACATATAGGGTTCCGTACTATCCGCAGTTTCAAGCATCCCAAGGTCTTAGAATGTATCCCCTGTGAATAAGAGGGGACTACTTTATTCAGTTAAGTTGTTCAAGAGGAAAGATTTCATCACCCAATTCTTTATGACAAAAACCTGGACTATCCTGTTTTGCTCAAAGGTGGTGTGACAATAATCTTTCATGATGCCTATGCCCCCAAATTTACTTGGTAGTTTGTTACAGTTCAGAAGTAGAGACATGCTGAAGGCAGTTGTATACGAAGATAAATGGAGGGAAATAGATGCAGTAGAAATTTTAAAAATTCATTGCATTGGTCATTTGAATTGACCCTTATAAATCTAAAAGTGAAAATGTTTCAAAATTATTAAGTAAATGGTTGTCCACTCTTCAAAAAAATTACGAGCAACCGAAAATCTTAAAAGCACTGCATGTTGACAATCCAAGTGTAAAACAAAACCAAAAAGGCCCCAGAAGCTAGAGCTCATTAGATGTATTTGTTATCTAGAATCAACAGTTACAAGATGAATACCTTCACTTCATGGCAGTTAATGAGCATTTCTTTGCATCAAGTGACAAGGCTTATTTAGAGTATACATGCCTTCAAGACAAGTAAAATGTGAAGGTGTTTGTTGTTTTAATTCATATATATGTGTAGTTTATACATATACACGACAGCTTTAATGAGACACAATTCACGCGTTATACAATTCACCCATATGAAGGTTACAATCCAATGTTTTTAGTATATTGTTACCCTGTTAATACTTGTTAAATTTTTAATATTTCTGAGTACTTATTAAAACTTGTAATAAAACTTTTCCACTATGCCTTTACTCTTACTTCTGTAAATTATTTGTAAAGTGACTTAAAACATAAAAGGAACATGTCTATGGGCCCAGACAGTAAACACTATTTTTCCTGGTATATTGAGGGTAAAACCAGTGAGCAAAAGACCCATCTCCTCTGGTCCCCTCCCTGATGAGAAAGTGACCCTACTGCAGTGCCTATGCTCTCTCTTCCCATCCCTCTGAAAAGCAAACATATTTTTAAAGGTTACAGGAGCCCTACCCTCTCTCTAGGCAATTTTGGATTTTAATGGGTCCAGCTCCTCTGGCTTACCACCCAAAGGACTGCCAGGTGAGGACAGGATGAATCCATCACAGCCACCCTCACCACTCAAGAGGACAAAGGCCCAGCTGCACCTGGGTGACTGAGCTGTTGGTACAATACAGGACTGAGCAGCAGAGGCATGGTTTCATTTGAATGTCAGAGCTGCAGGTCTCCAACTTTTCTGTTGTTATGGTGAGCTCAAGATAGTCAAAATACAGCTGACCCTTGAATATAGGTGTGAACTATCCAGTCCACTTACACACAAATTTTTTAAAACTACAGGACTATACTATCTGGGGTTAGTTGAATCCACAGATGCTGAAAGGTGGATATGGAGGAATCATGTACACAGAGGGCTGACTATGTTAGGGTCTGCACCCCTACCACCCTGCTTGTTCAAAGGTTAACTGTATTTTCCAAAGCCTAAGAGAAATGACACATTCCCCTAAGATGTATTGCATTGGTTAATTAAAACTGCTGTAAAATGAAGTTAGTAAGGGAATCTGCCCATTACAGGGATTTTGGGAAGATTAAATAAGATGTTCAAAGCAGCCTCAGGGCATGTAATTATATCACCATGGTCATGCTGCTTATCAAGTTATAAATGTAGCTTTAGTAACAGGGAAATGGCTTGTTTAGTAGCCATCTGACAATCTCATGTCTCTGAGGGAGAAAATAGTAAGAAAAACTCTCTCTCGAGAAAATGTTGACTGTCAATGTTTTCCTGGTCTGATGTTGGTAGGCCTTACTGATACACAATCACTGGAGCTCAGAAACAATCACAAGATAAAACATGGCACAGAAAAAGGGCACTCACCATTAACATGGGATTAGTGAAATGCCCTGCTATGTCCACCTCCCTGGAGAACCAGAAAGCATGTCCCCTGTGGCCAGGGCCCTTACAGTTAGGATGGGGAGAATCTATTACCATGAAGTTAGCTATTAAAGGTTTCCATGAGCACATGCTAAGCAGGTAGTAGTAACAGCCAGCATTCACTGAGCACTT